AAAGACCTGGTCAAGTCTAGAAGTCCATCAAGGTTCTAACGTCTTGTGTTCTCTGTTGGCGTCTATCTTCTGCAGTTGATTTGGTATTAAATGCTCCTGCCATCAATTCCCTCTTTTTCTTCTGAAGTTCGAGCATACGTTCTTCCACAGAATCTTTAACAACGAACTTGAAGACATAAACGAAAGATAGTGAGTCAGATGGTTTTCATTGAGAGCAGTTAACATTTGTCACAATATGGACAACATCATGGAAACCACCTAATCACGAGCCTGTGTGGTAGTCTTTTCTGTTTCTTTCTAGCAAAGAGGAAATTGCTCGAAAGCATAGATGAAAAGCGTTGAAATAGTATGGGGAGCGGTTCCTTTGATTCGCCATCTCTAGAAGCTTTCCAAGCTGAATGGGGTGAACACGGCGGGGAGCATGAGATAAGAGTGCGGGGAAAGCAGACAAAATTGAGACGCTCAGAGACGAGCGCAGAGTGCAAGTGGCAGAAGATGAAAGGTAAAAGATTCAATACAGCCCCTTCTCCCCTTCTCCTTACTCCGTGCGCCCTCCAATTTCCTCCAGGATTAATTTAACAATTCCCAAATGATTGCGTCGGATTATGTACGAGGCAGTCTCCCACCCTCTCGTCGCATACTTAGCTCGCTCTCTCACCCCATAATCTCGCTTGGTTCACCATTCTCCAGCTTGGCTTCACGAAAAAAGAAAAGACTGCTTTTTCAGTTATTCATCTCTTAGGAAAGAACCTCGCATGTGGTGGATTTCTGAATCAGAGTAACTAACTGAACTGAAAGACAGACAGACAGACTATCTTAGTGCCTGGCATTACCCCACTGAGTAACTGACCAACAACACATAATCTTTTATTACCTTGGTCCCTATAACATCCATGGTCTGTCCCAGCCTGTGGCATCTGTCAAAACACTGATCCTCAGCTGCAGGATTCCAAGCCTGTACAACAATGATAACACTTCAACCTGGTTAGGTATTCAAGTACGTGGGGAGTGCCAGGAATAGAAAAGAGAATTCTCAGTATTGACATTCGTCTCAAAAACATTCTTTAACAAACAGGTGATATGAACACACAAAGTTATCAGCTGGGGAGTGTTACACTGATAAAACATCAAATTCCCTTCACTAATTTACTAAATACCCTATAGCAGCAAGAAGGGAGAAGTACTGATCAAATCCTGAGATAAAGGGTTCAACATACTGGGTCAAGAAGGAAAACTCTGGAAGCTGCAGTGAGGTTTAGTCCAACACCGCCGGCCTTCAACGACAGCAGCATCACTGTAGGCGATTCAGGACCTCCGTCATCAAACAATTCTATAACTTCAGCTCGTTTCTTCAGCGACATCTTGCCATCCAATCGAACAAAGTTAAACCCTTCTGCTTTCAGTGGCGTCTCGACAATGTTCAACAGGGACGTGAATTGGGAGATTACCAGACTTTTCACTGAGGGATCTTCTTTTCTGAGCTTTGTTAGGAGAGACATCAGTGTGTCAATCTGAAAATAAACAAACACATACCATTTAATAAGGTACGAGAGTTGGCCAGACAAATCAAGTTCAATTCTGTTGTATGTTTTGCCCTCTTCCGTGACAGAAAAGTTCCCGACAACTTATACAGCAACAGATTCGCAAAAAACTTAAACCGTGGGTCTGGTTAAAAGTTAAAGGTAGAGTAGCAACTTTAATTTGTAATTCGTAAGCATGATCTTTTAGGATTGCGGTAAATTCGTTACTGACCAAGCTTGCTCGATCAAGATGACCAAGGTCATTAACGCCTTTTTCATGAACAGGCACAAAGGTAAGGCTTGTGAAAACGATGAAAAAAAAAACCCATCTCAGCCCTTCTTCAGCCTTCTCGTGCGAACAAGCTAGGCAAATGATGTTGGGAAAACCTTTGAACTGGAGTGCCAATCTTCAGACCCGTCAATTTCATCCGTATGCTCTGTCTCCAGTGGAACCTCCACCAACACATCCAGGCTAATGCTTCCGCGGCAAAGAGGACAACGAGGGTTCCCAGAGGTCGTCTTGATCACATCTTCTATGCACCTCTGGCAGAAGACATGGGTACAGTGGGTTATAACTGGGGTAGAAAGTGAGTCCAGACACACCGGACACTCCTCGTCAGCTCCTGAACTCAGGAGAGTGACAAGAGTGGATACCAGCTTCTGGCGTAGTTCCTCCGGTGTGAAGCAGCCTTGAAGATGCAACAAATTAGTTAGAATGATTAGAAAAGCTGCAACTATAGCAGTGCATAACTCTCCTGAGAGTAATGAAGGGGTATCAGAGGATTGTAAGGGAAACTGGTAGAATG